TGTGTATATATATATATATATATATATATATGTTTTTTTTTTTATATTTGTATTTATTTTATTTTCCTATTGCAAATGTAAACAATTTTTGTATAAAACTTGTTTAATGAGAAAACAAAATAGAAATGTTGAATAAAAATATATACGAAGTATATTTCTGACATATTAAAAATGCAAAGATCTTAATGTTGTTATTAATTAATTATTATTCAATTTGATGTATTATTATTTATCTTTATTTTTATGTTTTATTTATTTTATTATTGTTTTTTTTTTTGTCTGATGCCAAAAATATCTTCCTGTTAAAAATATGAATTTTTTAAATATTTATTTTAATTTCATTGACGATTCTGAGCAGCGGTTTACACTGCAGAAGTGTTTATAAATGTTTCAAATTTGTAAAAATTTTATTAAAATTTAGAATTGGATGTTACATTTTATTGCACATCTTCAGCACTTACCACATTAGCATAAAAGTTACTTCACTCAAATGATATGCAAAATCTAAAATGAAAAGACTCATTTTAAATAGCATTTTTGTCATGATACAAAACTGGTTCAAACTAAACCTGCTCAAATCTGCACTGGCGTTACCTTCTATATGGATGTAAATTTTGCATCGTTTCTTTTAATTTCATTGACGATTCTGAGCAGCGGTTTACACTGCAGAAGTGTTTATAAATGTTTCAAATTTGTAAAAATTTTATTAAAATTTAGAATTGGATGTTACATTTTATTGCACATCTTCAGCACTTACCACATTAGCATAAAAGTTACTTCACTCAAATGATATGCAAAATCTAAAATGAAAAGACTCATTTTAAATAGCATTTTTGTCATGATACAAAACTGGTTCAAACTAAACCTGCTCAAATCTGCACTGGCGTTACCTTCTATATGGATGTAAATTTTGCATCGTGCCCTATGTAGATGAGTGAAGCAGGTTCAAACGTGTCGGCAAGTTCAGGGTGACACGGAGTGACTTATTATTTGGCCGCCTTTGAAGTTTATTCTACTGATCGTATATTAATGATGGTCATTTACAACTGGAATAATTCATAAGCCTGCTGAATTATGCATTAGATAAACCTGTATGCTCATGGAAATGGACCTGAACTGTGTGAATTGCTGTTCTTTACTCTTTTACTCATTTCCCCCCGTTATTATTGTTTCCATCCATTTCACGTTCTATTTCCATAGTCGCATTTAGTCTTGATTTATGGAAACCTTTCATTAGTGATTCCCAGGAAGCGCGGTTCTCTCTGTAATGTTAATCTGTCATGTTTTCCTCTCTCCAGATCAGTCCGTTGAGGCCCCAGAGGCCCAAGAGTCAGGTGATCAGCTTGCTGGGCGAGAAAAGGCTCTCGGTGTCTCCGGGAGCCCCTGCCAACCCGTCTGCGCCCAGCATCCCACCTCCCATCACGCCCCGGGCCAAACTGCAGTTCAGCTTACTGTCTGGATCCAGTATGTCATACTTCACACTGATCTGCCATTTTCCCCTCAAGCTTTATTTCGAAACATGATGAAACTGGGCCAGTTTTACTAAAGCAAGCAAGGATAAAAAAGTTGATAGTTGAAAAGTTTACAACAGTAACTTCAGTTTACAAAAAGATCTGGCTATTTTGGGAAGAAAGCCACTCCAAAACATTTATATGTAATTCAAAATCCAGAGCTGACATTTTGGCATCATTTGAATAAATGAAGCTGAAAGACTGCTGTAAATACGAGAAATGATCTAATCAATCACACATCTGAACACCTGCATGCTTACAGCAGTCTGCATATTTGAAATAATAGTAAATAAAAGAAAAGTGGCTTTGATGTGCTGAAATGCAGCAGAACTAGTTTTGGCATCACATATTTTCCTCTGGTGTTGTTTCATCAGCGTAATTCATTATACTTTAGCTGTTGGAACAAATAGATTTGTTGACAATTATCCAAGTCCTTCAGTCTGATTTACATTTATCATTTAAAGGTTTGGGGTTGGTAAGATTTTTTAATGTCTTTGAAAGCAGTTGCTTATGCTTACCTAATAATTTGGTTAAAAATACAGTACATTTTAAAATAGTTTTCTATTTGAGTATATTTTAAAATGTTCTTTAATGAATAGAAAGTTCAAAAGAACAGTATTTATTTGAAATTTCTTTACTTTCATTTTTGATCAGTCAATTCAATCAATTTAATTTAGCATCCTTGCTATTAATTTCTTTAGAAAAACCTCTCACTGACCCCAGACTTTTGAACTGTAGTGCATGTAGTAGTTGTCAGTGTCATTTGCATACAATTATTTTCATTTTAATATTAGCTGTTAAAAAAAAAGTCAGTTATGTTTATGAGCTTTATTTGATGTGTTAAAAATATTTTATATATTTTTTATCGACGTGTTTTGATTTTGAAACGTGCAGTGCTCATGTTTATTCAACGAAGTCAAACGGCACAAATAAATCAATGTATGGGAAACTGGTAATGTATATCGAAATATCGGAAATGTGTTTAAAAATCATATCACCGTTATTGAAAAAAATTATATCGCGATACATATTGATATTGAATTATTGTCCAGCCCTACTCCCACGTTACCAGCTTGTCTATAAAACATATATCAGGACAAACTCTCAAGGATTTATTTATGGACCCAGAAAAACTTTTACAATTTTTATCACAAGTACATGTAAAGAATCTTTTTTATAAAATTGTATCAAATGTTTGTTTTACTTCTATTGCATTTAGGATATTATGTTGCTGAATGTTTTATTTGTATCTGCCATGTAACAGCCGGTGAATTTAAATAATTTAAATAACCCTCAAAATACGACACGTTTGCTGACGTGATCTGTTCGGTCTCATGCTGTAGTCTGATGACACACAAACATAACGCTGTGGTGTGAAACGCAGGACTCTGGGAGGCTGCAGAGGTGTTAAAGAACTCAGATGAAAGCGTGTCTGATCTGGTCTCCCACTCGCCGCTTGTGAAGATGTGTAATGGATTCAGACTCTAGTGCGAGGCGTTTACTCTCCCATGGGTTCAGTCCACTGTCTGAATTCTGAGTTTGCACCGCATGTCGTCATCTGTGCTAGAACCACTCCTCAAACAACAGATTTACAATCAGTTTAATCTTTTAAAAAGGATTTAGGCAAAGTAACAATGTCATGCATCATAATATTGATCTCAACCACGCTTTGTCTTGTTTCTACACAGATCTGGAGCTGAATGGGACGGGTTATGGAGATAAGGGCGAAACTCCGCCCCCACTTCCTGTCAAGAGCAGCATGGGCGACTATGGAAACCTGATGGACAACTCAGACCTGGCCAGTCCGACCACGCCCCCTCCTCCACTGCCACACCAGCGGGTATAGCACATCATCCATATCCATCAAAGACCGACATACATATTTATGAAGCGCTTTACTGCTTGATCTTCATTTCCATTATTTTTACATGACCATTAGTGGTTAAAAATCCATTAAGAAGTCTATTCCTGTTGTTCAGCTCTGAGGATCGTCAGGTGACTGCCTTCAGAGGCAAAACAAGTAGAAGAAGTGTAGTGTTATATTGAGGCTGTTGCGGTGGCAGTGTTTGTCAGTGTACTGAATGCTGACGCAGTGAGACTCTTCTCATCGCAGATGTGCGACTGTCTGAATGAACAGTGTGTGAAGCGGTCAGGATGTGTGTGACGGTCAAACGGAGCTTGACCAGAGCGGCTGAAGATGCCCTTGATCAGCTGCTCATCTCTGGGTATCTTTCTCTCTGCAGGCTTTTGCTTTTAAGAAATCCCAGATACTGTTTCATTAACCCATAACCTGATCTTCTCTGCAGCTGCTGGAAGTTCTGTCAAATGTCAGTGTTAAAGGTTGAAACAGCTTGAAGTTCTTTGCTCCAGGACTACTATTATTTTATGATACACTTAATGTTCAAAAGTTTGGGTCAGTAAGATTTTGTTAATGTTTTTGAAAGAAGTCTCTTATGCAACAAGGCTGCATTTATTTGGTCAAAAATAAAGTAAAAAAAACACTAATATTGTGAAATATTATTGCACTTTCAAATAACTGTTTTCTATTTGAATATACTTTAAAATGTCATTTATTCCTGTGATGCAAAGTTTAGTTTTCAGAAATCATTCTAATGTGCTGATGTGGTACACAAGATACATTTCTTTAATAATTTTATGGAAACCATGAATAGCATTTATTTGAAACAGAAATCCTTTCATGTCTTTCAATGCATCCTTGCTGAATTAAAATATTAATTTCTTTTTTTTTTAATCATACATTGATAATATGTGACCCTGGAGCGCAAAACCAGTCTTAAGTCGCTGGGGTATACAGGTGCATCTCAATTTCATTCATTGTTGCTTTCATTTATCAGTCATATCAAGAGACCAGATTATCACAGAGACTTTATTTTTTTATTATTTACTCCGTCTCTATCACTCTATTATTACTGCTTAAAGTAATATATGAAAAGGAACAAAATATAAATATTATAAATAAAATATTAAAATAACTCAAGTGTTTTAAAAATGTCACTTCTCTTTTCCTCATTTTTCCAGCACCTTCCACCTCCGTTACCCAGCAAGACCCCTCCTCCTCCTCCTCCAAAGACCACTCGAAAGCAGACCTCCATTGATTCGGGAATCGTCCAATAAGCGAGAAGACGGCATCGTCAAACAGAGACATCCGCATCAGCCCCCTTCCAACGATTTTACGTCAACATCCCTGACAGTATGGCATGATGAATACCTCACCTCAGCCTGCTCATAACGGCTGATTATTGTCCACTGCCAGGTCACCACTCTGAGCCTCCACCCCAGTGACAATACAAGCTCGGAGACGCAGTCCATTTCACATCACTCCAGGCGTCAGACCACAGCACATATAGATGCAGTGTAACTGGAGTCAGGGAATTCTGGGTATTTTTGGCAGATGATGCATGTTTAACTAAAGCTCCACTTGAGATGAATTGAGGGTTTTCTCTCTTTAGGCAGGAAGACACTTTTTATGCACATTATCGTTGAGACACGTGACCAATTCAAACCATTTTGGTGTCGCATAATCAAAGTTTCCTTTTTCTCTCATTTTTACATGATATTTTTATCCTCAATATTTACACATTTATGTACAGAGGTTTGTATATATGATTTTATTTTATTGTTTTCTTGAAAGTAAATTTGATCCTTTTTTTTATTTTTTTTTATTCACCGTTTATAAAAATTGGCATTTTATCCAAAAAGGGCTTTTTTTTTTTTTTTAAGAGAGGGACAGTAAAGATATTCTTACGTGTATCTTTTATTGATTTTGTGTTGTTGTTGTTCGTTCTCATTTGGAGTGAAAACAACTAAAAGGCATTGTACCAATCAAGTATATAATCCACATTAAAGTATATCGATAACATTGACTGCTCCAAATCCACTACTGACTTCTGAATAAACTCAATCTATTTGTAAAGTGCCTCTCGTTTGATGCTAATTAATCCAGTGCAATGTAGACATTTAGCAGATATCAGGTTTGCTCTGTCAGAATGGCATCATCCAGTACGGCTCTCTGCTGTTTGTGATGTTACCGCAGGTTAACCAATGCAAAACAAGTCAACGCTGTCTGGAAAGTGAGGTAAGTTGAGTCTGAGGTGAGTTCATTTATTAAATCACTGCTTGTTGAAACTGACTCATAAGTTCAGTGATCAAGTCCTTGAAACCTGAAAAGCTACGTTTTCCATTTAGCTTTTTAGTATAACGTGGAGCTGAATCTCAATGACATTGATTGTGAAAATGGCGGACGTGTTTGCATCATAAAGACTGCCAGCTGTCACTTTACTAAAAGGGTTTTGAAAATAGCAAAGCCTTGCATTGACTCATACATGCATAATCAATGCAGCATCTGTTATGAGCTGAGGGAGTAAATACGCTGGAGAACATGTTTTGTATGTTCAAGGTCACTTTCGTCGCACATCCAGTCAGAGTTACTGCTCTAGTCTGTCAGTCAGCTGATTTACTGTAATTCTGATGTTCGTTATGAAGTAATTGATCTTAAACATACAGCACTCACCATCTAAAAACAGCAAATTATGCAAATCACACTGGGTTGGGTTTTTGTGCTTGTTTGGTGTTTGTTACATGGGTCATTTGTGTGTTCATGCAGAACATTTTGGAGTCTGCCATGTGTTTGTTTTTTAAATTTTTAAATGGGCTTTTTGACACTTTTGGGTTGAAAGGAATAGTTCACCCCAAAATGGAAATTTTATAAAATTTTACTAAATCTTAGGATGTTCAAGATGTAGATGAGTTTGTTTCTTCATCAGATTTGGAGAAATGTAGCATTTCATCGCTGTCTCACCAATGGCTCCTCTGCAGTGAATGGGTGCCGTCAGAATGAGAGTCCAAACAGCTGATAAAAACATCACAATAATCCACAAGTAATCCACACCACTCCAGTCCATCAGTTAATGTCTTGTGAAGTGAAAAACTGTTATATCGCTTTCTCCAGTGAAGTCGTCTCATCTAAATCAGGAGAGAAATCTGCACAGATCAAGCACCGTTTATAAGTTAAAACGGTCCAAAACAGCACTAAACAAATATGTTTGTGGATTTTGATGTGAGAGACAACAGGAGATGGATATTTACACTGGTGCAAGCATGGTTATGGATTATGGATTTTTAGCCAAAAGCGGTTAAACGGTTTAGTAAAAAAAAAAAAACTCTTGATGGATTTTTCTCTTACAAACAGTTTTTCTCTTCACAAGATGTTAACTGATGTACTGGAGTGGTGTGGATTACTTGTTTTTATCAGCTGTTTGGACTCTCATTCTGACGGCACCCATTCACTGCAGAGCATCCATTGATGAGCAAGTGATGCAATGCTACATTTCTCCAAATCTGATGAAGAAACAAACTCATCTACATGTTGGATGGCCTACAACTTTTAAAAATTGTTGCTATCCAACTTATTTGTGTAACTGAGTTAAGTTTTGTATTCACATTTGTGAATGGGACATGATAATGTAGTGCACGGCAGGAATGACCCGTGTGCGTTTATGTAAATGTGTGTTTGAGATGGTGCTGTTGGGTCACCGGGAACTGAAGAATGTGTAAAATGATAGAGAACGAGATAAACAGTCACAGAAACGTCCTGACATTAATGTCCGACTGAGTCAGTTTCCCACGGTACGCTATCAACATCTAACCTGATTAATCCAGCTGAAGATTCCCTTTGAAAGGAAAGCTCATATTCAGGCATTTCATGATCAAATTCAATCAGAGTCTCCAGGTTGAGCTTCAGATAAGTAGCTTAGTTTTTTCTTCAAAAGATATTTTTAAATTTTTTTACTTCGTATCACATCACACAGAACTGAAATAAACCCAAAGTTATATTTTATGCTTCATTGAGCAGTATGGCTGCATTCATTTAGCAGAATGTGTTTCCATGAAACAAATGACTTTGTTGTTTATTAGAGAATGCTGGGAAAATATCCTGCTGGACTGTCAGTTGTTTCCCCTAATGTTAATTACAGAATTATTGAGGCCTAATACAACAGCTACAGCTAATTAAATTTAACTTTCTTTTTAAACCAGAGGCAGAAAATAACTTAACTCGGTTAATTCCAAATGTTTTCCATGCATTTAAGTGAGAACTAATGTGTTTTGCTCCTTGAATAGTCCAGTGAACCGAATTGCATGTCTTTGCAAGTTTTTAAGAAGTTAATAATAATATTTCTCATTTTCATTTAGTTTAACTTGATGTGCTAAAATAACCAAAACTGAAATAAAATGTAAAACATCAACTAAAATAAAAATTAAAACTATTAAATTAAAACAAATTCAAAATATTAATAAAAACCTTAAAAAAGCATTTTTGTTACTTGAATTAAACGTTAACTTAAAATATTTAAGAATAAATCAATAATAAACAAACTTTTTATTTTTCATTTAGTATAAATTGATGTTCAAAAATAGCTAAAACTGAAATAAAAATGAATTATATAGACATAACATTAACAACAAAGCACTTAAAAATCTACTAAAATTAAAATGGAAAATATAAAATTAAAAACAAATTCAAAAATATTAATGAAAATTATAACATCTCAGTGATAGCAAATAAGGCTGGTGCAACTTTGATTAAAAATGAACTAGAGCAATCTTGTTTTCTTGTACCAAATATGGTGATTGTATTTATTTTGTCTGGATCCACCATTGTTTAATGCTCTCTCATAGGAATTAAACAGCTCTGCTCACGTCATTTATAGACTGCTCTTCTATAACTCTTTTTTAGATCCTTGAGGCTCAAATGTTGACCGAATCTTGTGCCTGACATCCATATCAGAAATCTTCCGTGCCTCATTTTAAGTGTGTTCGGTATATGTGTCAGATCACAGGTGATGAAACCGTCACCTTGCGAGAAAAGATGATTACATTTGCTTAAGCTATTTACAAGGCCAGCAGTGAAATAGACGTGGAGAACAAACCCAGTGTCATTATGTGCTGAAATATCATCTCTGGTCAGGAAATCAATAACAGGCCGTAAGTCAGTGTGAAATGATGTCCTGCCACGGCAGATTGAGTATGCCAGCGCGTAATGTATTGCCTTCACTTTTGATTGACAATAAACAATAATTGTAATGCAAAAGCAAAGCTTCGGCCAAAGCTGCACACTAACCGTCTCAGACGTCGACCCGTATAAACGTCTTGTTACGACAGATGCTTTGAGTCTCCTTTATTGAAATTCCTTTGCTGTTCTATGAATCACTTTGAGCTGTTCTGATTTTAATATAACTGATATATATATATATATATATATATATTCATACAGGAGGGGCCGAAGGCTAAATTGAATCCATATTTCACTGTGATTGTGTTTGGTCTCTGTGGTGCGGTCAATCACAGCCGGCTCTGATTGGAGGGGAACATCCTCCATTGAACCTCATCTCCAGCGTTCTCATAAACCTCGTCTGTGTACAAATACAGATACAAAAACGGCTCTCTTATGTTATTCTGGGGTGAATTTAGGTAAACTGGCCTGCTTTTTGCCATCCGTCTCAATAAATCACGCACAGACCCAAATTCACCTTTCATACTTCAATCTAAATCTCACAAAATCTCTCCAGCTCGCATTTCTCCCTGAAATTAATCCATTGATTGATTGACTGACTCATTGATGCAAGCATGTTTTTATTATTTATTTATTGATGTATGTATTTATGCATTATCATTATTATGTAAGGAATAATTGACACGGGCCGTTGAATTATTAAAAAATAATGTACAGCCGAGGTGGTGATGCGGCTCGACTCGAGTTTTTTTGTTTTGTTTAGTTTTTTGCATTATTCTAATAAAGCAACTGCCTGCCATCAGTTACTTGTGTTCTTCGGAACACAATTTAAGATATTTTTGATGAAATCTGAGGTCTCTCTGACCCTCCCATAGACAGCAAGGTAACTACCACGTTCAAGGTCCAGAAAAGTACCAAGATGATCGACAAAGTAGTCCGTGTGACATCAGTGGTTCAACTGTAAAGTTACGAAGCTACGAGAATACTTTTTTGCACAAAGAAAACAAAAATAACGACTTTATTCTGCATTTTCATCTCTTTTCACCGCCACACGCTCGCGTCATGATACTGTCGTGAACGTGCGTCCAAAGTAACAGATCAATAGAGACAAAAATGCGGAATAAAGTCGTTATTTTGGTTTTCTTTGTGCAAAAAAGTATTCTCGTAGCTTCATAACTTTTAAGCCTAATCCTAGACTAAAATATAAATCTGAGCTGTTTCAACTGAAAGAAACTTGCACTGACTGATCTTAAAATATATCAGTGCCTTTGTTTTATCTCAAGATGCACACCAGTAATGTTTTTTTCTAAGTACCTTCATAAAAATTACTTAAATGTCCTAACTGAACTTTGGCCTAATCCTGGTTTAGTCTAAACCCTGTCTGTGAAACCAGGCCTAGTGTTTTTATTTACTGATTCTATTTTATTTTTATTCTGTTTTATATATATTAGTAAACACTGTCAAACTTATTTTTTTGTTAGTGCACTGTTCTTTTAACAGGGTTTTCAGTGCATTTTAATACTTGGTTTAGGTGCAAAAACTCTGTCATTTTAGTTTGTTTGCACTCATTTTTATTA